ATACTAGTTTCTATAAATATCATTATATCCATTCAATCATGTGTAGTATCTAGTTTTATAGGTATGAAATTAAACACAACAACCATTTCATTATTCTTTAAATTAATTAGGGGTAGTATAAATTTAAATATTTCCAATTATTAAAAACATAAATAAAATATCATATAAATAAATAAATGCAATCATCTTCATCATAAATCATCCAATACACAATGTCTAAAATTGAAGAAAGCTTCTTAGAATTAAGGTCTCAAATAGAAGTAATTATCATTTTCTATTATTTTCTAGTCTTCTTTCGATGAGATTGATGAATTAATTGACTCAATTCATCTTATTCCCTATAAATAAGTAACTAAAACAATTGAATCTAAACTTGAATTGCCTTAATTTCCCAAATTTTCTATCTCAGAATTTGATTAATTATAACAAATTCATGAGAGTTTGAAACCTTTGTTTGATAAGATTATCAAAAATAGAATTGAACTTTAAGAGTAAAAGTTAAATTAAACTAACTTCGAATAGAATATAGTTGATGAAGAGGAAGAATCTGATCAAAAAAAAAATATTTTTAAAGAAGAGATTGATTCTGAAAATTAGTAAATCAAATAATCTAATAATCTTTTAAATGAAGTAAACAGTATTAAGTTATTATCTAGACATAAAAGGAAGTGATATAAGTTGAGAATGAATAGAATTAATTGGAATTGCAAGCTTTATGAGAACTTCTAACTATCTTGGGATTATCACTAATTATATCCTAATTCCCTTTTAATCTCAAATTGAGTTTTGATATTTTTTCATAAAGAGATGCAATCAATTTATTAATTATCTATTGACTTTAAATTACTGCAATTTACAAAATTATCAATATACATCTCATCATCACTGATATCTTTAACCACTGCATAAATTCTATATTAAATATTAATTTGATGGAGAAGCGATATCGAAATTTTTGTATCAAACTACAATACTAACTTATTTAATAATTAATAAAGTCACATTTGATTAAAATAAAGTACCATATTTCAAATAATATAAGATTTGGCTAAATAATCTTATTATTCTTAATTGTCAATAAATATTATAATGATTTTTCTAAGATTTATCATGTTATAATAGAAGTTCTGAACTGGAAAAAAAAACGATGACTTTATAAAAAATCCTTATTAAAGGAATAATATTAATTATCTGAACTTACTATTATTATTTTATTATAATAATTTAGTTTAAAATGGAAAACTCTGTACATTATTCTAACTTAAATATTACATTCCTCTCAATCAATACTAAGAAAGTATCTTTATCTATAGCAATTTAGAATCTTCAATGTTTATGGTGATATCTCATACTTCTATGCAAACTAAAATAATATAATTAATACTAGTTTCTATAAATATCATTATATCCATTCAATCATGTGTAGTATCTAGTTTTATAGGTATGAAATTAAACACAACAACCATTTCATTATTCTTTAAATTAATTAGGGGTA